AAGGTCTAAGTCAAAATGCATTCATTGCACCAGCAATCTTTTGCCTGACTGCAGGGACCTTAAAGAGCTCTGAGTCAGTTTTGTTCAATCCAGCGACTATATAGTTTTTTATAAATTTATTTTTGGCAACCACGGAATGTGTAAGTTCAAGAAAGCCAATAACATAATGTTAATATATGCCTCTCATCCAGCCCGGGTAACCACTGCAGGCCAAATGTAACAAACAAGCCAGATTTATTTAGATTTAAATGTATTTAAGCCAGAAAAGTAAAGATTTAATTAGAAAAGCAATGTTTTTTTATTCCTTATTCCTGACAGTATATACCTAGCCCTAAACCTTAAAATAAAATCCTAAAATGGAGCTATTAATATATTTGAAAAGCAAAAGGTTAAAAATGTTTGTGTTTTATCACTCTTCCAAATAATTTCAGCTACATAAATTTCCCTGGTATAGAGTTCTTAGAAAATGCGTTGAGAGAGGCTGACAAACCTAGTTTGATGTGGTTTTCATTTCTAGTCTTGCAGATGCATGGCATTATAAATGAAAATCATAGACTTCCCCAGCCATACAGGCGCAACCCAGCTGGCTTCCTGGAAGCACCGCCTCTGTGGTCGACAGCTACTTTTACTGAGCAGCATTTCAGCAGAAATCACCTCTGATAAATACCCTTCTGAAACATAACATCCGATAAAGATAGACTTTGATAAACTGCAAAAGCTTTTCAGTTTTATTAGTAACCTACTGGGCCAATGGTTATGGAAACAATAATTGATGCCATATGCTCTCAGTGATTTTTTTTCAATTCACTGGTTGCATTGCAAGGGTATGAAATGCCTCACATTCTTTCCTGGCCACAGTGATTTCTGCCCCAGAATATGAGCTTCCCTTCCAGACAGCAGAGATGTTTGTATACTCTTCCTGATCCTCACTTGGGTATTTAGTAGGTTATATCAGACCTTTGAAGAGAAGAAGCATTTTTTGTTGTTCAGCCATCAGCATTGATAATTGCTTTTACAAAGTTTTGGCTGACCACCATGAAGGCATTTTTAAACATCCGGTGTACGAGCAGAGGGAGGTTTTCTCTGCTCTCTCTCAAATTTTTGAATGTAGAGGAAATGCTCACAAACACTTCCCAGCTTCAAGTCCACTACCTTCCATCACGCAGCCTTGTGCTGAGGGGTTACATTCATGGCCTCGACAAAACCCAGTGACAGGCACTGCAGACTGGCAGCTCCTGTCACAGCTGTGGGTGAGCCCTGCTGGCTCTGCTCTGCTGCAAACGGGAGGGCAGGGAGGAGCCTTACATGTAACTGCTTATGGAGTTTTGTGTGCCTTTTTTTGAATTATAGAAACAGAGCAGTGAAAATCTTTTCTTCTCACTTTGAGGACAAGATTACATGGTCCATTCATATTTTGTAATTTTGTTTTTCAGTTACCAAGTACAACGCAGAATCTTAAGGAAGGGGGCATGTTTCTGTGATGTTCTTGTGCAGCATTGCTAATTGTAACGTTTTTAACAATTCTGAAGACTTTTGAGAAGCGAAAATATTGCAGTGGTTTCGTGTTCCTCTAACCACATGTAGCTGTTTCACTGGATGTTTGTTGATTACCAAGGCAACAATTTCAGACCTAGCATGATTATCTGTATCATACCGCTCATCAGAGATGTGGCCAAACTCCAGAAACTTCTGCATTGAGGAAGCGATGCTAGTTGGTAGGAGGCAGGAGTTTTCAAAGCTGTCTCAGTGAAAATGCTGATCACATGCTTATGTCCCCAACTTTAAAAATATCATTAAAAGATTGGTTTGCTTAAAATAGATTTTACTATAAATATATTAGAGTCAAGCAAATAGCTGTTTCATCAATGCAATATCATAGTTCTGTAGATGTACCCATTAAGAATAAATTAACATCATTTTAGAAAAGCCTTCCATTTGTTATTTAAACCCAACTACATTGTGGAGCCATAATTGATACATGAAACAGCCCATACTTGTGTCCTAAAAAGTGCGGAGTCCAGAGTTGGACTTTGGACTTCAACTCTGCTATTAATCTCTTCTGTTAATAAAATTTAATGGTCATGGAGTTTTACAGGAATCCTATCCATCCTATTTGCATGGAGAAGAGTAAAAAGGAGCTGTCACAATACCCAAATTTCAGTAAGTCAGAGAGATCCAATTGGGAAATTTTGCAGACGTGGCTGCTTTGGGGTCACAAGACAATGTGTGAGCAACATTTAGCTTTCCCCATGACAATGGCAGCACAAATTAGCAAGATTTTCTGAGTGAAGGATGAACAATTGCTTTCACAGGGCTCACCCTAATTCTGCCATCATTCCAGGTTTTCCTGTGAGAAGCAAGATATGAGTGGCCATGGATCTCAGCACTTCTGAGCCATTGCTCCTTTCTGAAATAAGCAGCATGCCTTAAATACTATTATCTAAATTTGGATCAAGAAAGTATGGTTATTATTTTGTTGACTTTACATTTTTAAAATGAAGAACACTACAAGTAACTGCTTCCAGATTCCCTGTTTTCATTTTGGTTCTTTTTGCAGCTGTCAATTTATAATGACAACCAGGTTAGGGCAGCCACAGTCATACAGAATTATGAAAGTGACTGCTGCCAGTTGTTTAAAAATGAGTACTATGGAAGGTTTGGTGCTTCCCATTCTTTACAAGAGTAAGCCAATAAAATCCCAATCTAGTTTATTAATAGTTTTTGTTGCCAGAGTGGAGGCATGTTGATCATATTCTCCAGTTTACTACACTGGAAGAGGAAGTAGGTGGAGGATTTCCCCTGAGCTGGGAATGTTCTAATGCCACCAACCAGCACAGCAGACACATCTCTGCTGTTTTTTCCATATGACTCCAATTTTCCTGTGTATGAATGGCAAAAATACCTTTGAGGCAGAGAAAGAAGAAGAAAAAACAGGTCTCAGCCCTGTCTTCCTGTCTGTTATTAAGTGCTCCAGGTACTAGGTAGCTCCAAATAAATCAACTGTTTCTGGCTGACTACAGCTCTCACTCATCACAGTATCTGACATTGCTGTAATCTGTAGGTTATGGAAATAGTAAGACAAGAAACTCAAACTCATTCATTGGCTTTACTGATTTCAATAGTCTAAAAGTCACTTTTTTCTGTATTTTCACCTTGCATCTATATCTTGAATGGGTTCTATTAAAGTGTATCTTCTTAGCTGATAACAACTTTGCTCTTTGTAACCCATCTTAATCATCTTGACCAATTTTCTTCAGAGCCTTCAGCATCTTTGTCCCATAACTTTTTCTCCACCAAGCACATTTTTAGTTTTGTTGCACCATGTAATTCCACTTTCTCAGTTCTCCATCAACCACCAATGCAGGAAACCTGCATGCACCTGGTTGCAAAGCCTGCTGCTCTCCTCTGGTGTCTCAGCTGCTGCACTTCCTTTCAAGTGGTGTAGACTAGATATAGACTTGCATTTCTTGTTTTAGTCACCTTCTGTGGCTGACAAATAAAGCAGCAGCCCTAGACACTGATAATGAAGATCCAGGTGAATGACAGCACTATTTTGAAAAAAAAACTGGCAAGGACCGATATTTTTACTTTGAAATTTTGTTTCTAATTTCACTGTTTTCCACAGGTCATGCATCTTGTATTTTGGAGGAGTGCATTGAAAGGCAGCAATTTACCTCCTTTTTTGCCCTCCAGTTTCAGATAAAAATTCTTCCCCCACTGTAAGTCAAGTGGTGGGAGCTACTATGACATGCTGTATGAGGCAGCTTCTAAAGAAAAATAACTATTCCTTAAACCCACCTTGTTTTTGATAGGTTTCTTAAAGGCTCCACAACAATATAATCAAATAAAGAAACTAGTGGAGAAACATGTTCAGGTTTGGTTTGGGCGCTTTTTTTTTTTTTTTTTTTTTTTTTTAATATTTCATCTTCACTTTACTATCTGAATCTGCAAACTGAGGCGTAGGTGAGTGTCTGCTTGACTGTGGTGGGAAACCCATGCAACAGTCTGTGACGCATTTACTGTGGTTGATACATATATATGTACATACATACACAGATGCACATATAGATATATATATATATATATTTGTTTACAAGACTGGATATATGAACATACACACACAGATATATATATATATATATATATATATATATATTTGTTTAAGAGACCGGACACTTTTCAGGGGCAACAGTGTCGTTGAGCAGTGTCTTCCTTCTCAATTTAGCAAGAAGCGTTGGTACAAATGCGAGCAGTTTCATCAGTAATTTCCTTCTTTCCTGTGCGGGCTGCGAAAGGACTTTCCGAAAACATCACCGTACGCCTAACTCCGGCCCGCCGGGCCCGTGGCACCGCCAGGCCGCCGGCAGCAGCCGCACACGCCTCCCCTCATGAGGACGAGCCCCTGTGGCACCCGCCAGCCATCGCTCCCTGCGCCGGCCGCCCCGGCTCGGCCTGACCCCCACGGGGGCCACGGCGGGCAGCGGGTCCCTCTCCGCCCCCTCACTGCCAGCAGGGCGCAGGTGGCGGAGCCGCCGCCCCACGGGCACCTCGGGGGCGGCAGAGCCGGGGGTGGCCTCGTCCCGCAGGGCCGATCCCGCCCGTGGTTCCCCGAGCGACCAGCAAGCCGCCGCAGGCCGGGACGGGCGGGGGAACGGAAGCGCGGCGGAACGGGCGGGCGGTGCTGGGGCGGGGCGGGCCGAGCATGGCGGCGCTGCGGGTGCTGGAGCTGTACAGCGGCATCGGCGGGATGCACCAGGCCCTCAGAGGTACCGGCCCGCGGGGCTCCGTGCTGCCCGCCCCGCCCGGGCACCCCGCCCTCGGGGGCTCCATCCTCTCCTTCTCGAGAGGGCCCCGCCTTGAGGAAGTGGGGGCAGTGCAGGGTGCCTCCCTCTTGCCGATGGGGCGGACAAAGGTGGCCCCTCTTCTCCCATAGCCCCTGGCCCAGTCCGGCGTGTGGCACCAGGTACCCAGGAGCACGTTGGGACTGGAATTAGGGATCCCTGCTCCTTGTTTGGCCCAGGCAGCTGCTTCTGCAGGGGCCGTGATTTTGTGTTTGTTATTATGTGCTCTGTGTAATACAGAGACACCCCTGCTGCGGATGGGGATCGCTGTAATGCCCAAGGTGATAACCACAGGAGCCAGGGTTTCCCACTGGCATGCACGTGTACTTGGTTTTCATAGGCCATAGTTAGGTGAACAGCTGAGCCATGTTCCAGTGTGAGTGAGCCTGACCATCTGAGGCTAGTGTAACATTTTATAAACATGAAAATTAAATGTGGAATTTCAGCTGGTATAGGGAGTTCACACTAGCGGTGTTCCCAGGTGAGTTTTTGATCTGGCAGAAGGAACCCTGGAGCTCAATTTGCTGAATTGTTAAAACATTGCCCCGGTGACCTTCAGCAGATCCTGGAGACTCTCTGTGAATTGGCTTCCCCAAATTAAAAATTGAGTTAGGGTTATTGATTTCCGTTGAAAAGTACCCTGGACCTTATTACTTTGAAGTCCATGTTTCAACACGCATTAGTATAACTTAGGATAATCACTTATGATAAGTATAGCTTACGATAACAATTTTAACTGTAACTACAATCCTTCAAATCTTTCATTCTTCAGGAGCATTAGCAGAGAGCATTGTCATAAAAACATCAGGTGGAAACTTGCCTTGTCTTGCTATTTTTCTAGGGAGCTATGGAATATTAAGGGTATGCTTATGGACTGAAATCTGTTTAGCATCATTTATTTACTTGAAACACACTCACAGTTGTCAAAGTAGCATTTTTCCTACTATCCTGTTTTGTTTGAATGTGTCTAAGTGCTTTATTTATGAACATAAATATATAAAATAGATTTAAATGTATTTATTCTATGTATATAAATACACAACAAAATAGCTTCCTACATTGTTCCTAGCCACCTGTTTTGAGGATGTATTTTCCTTATTTCCAGAGACATTCTCTATTAAGAGGCAAGTATAGCTTTGTCCTGAACTGCACATTTTGGAGTTTTTGTAGAATGAAAACAGTGTGTTATGTCTTCTATATGGTGTACACACTAATGGTAACATGCTGTTTTTTGGTATCCATATTCCTGAAGCGATGGCAAGCTATCCATGTTTGTTGTATTGCAGGAAATTTCCATATTTCTACAGAAAGTGGACTGGTTCCTAAAAGTTAGTTTACGCCATGGTTCCTTCAGTCTTTACTGAATTATCTAGCTGTGTTCTTGCCATAATAGTGGATGTCTTGGGGCAGTTCAGTAGTGTTCAGTAGTGTGCTGCAATTTTTAATAATTTATAATGCTAGATGTGATGTCCTGTGAATTTCCACCTGGGAAAACATCACTTGTAACTCAGTAAATACTTAAAAGTGTGGGAATGTTGGGAATGCCTCATTAGATTATCTGAAGACTGTAAAGTTTTATCCAAGATACAAAGAATTAGGGATGCCCCAGCGAATAGTTACTACAAATAGGAAGTCTTGAAATCATGTCACCTAATGGTGTAGTTTGGAGACTGAAGGACTTAACTAAACCGCCTTTATTATTTCCTGAAAGGTACATTTGCTTCCACGTTTACTGTTTCTGAACTTGCTGACAAAGCTGATACAGTGTCAGTCTTTGGTGTAATTTCTTACAGATTTGCAATTGACTGAAGAAATTGCAATAGGTATGAACAGTGAAACTGAGCTTTTTCTGTAGTGGTATCAGCCAAAGCAGATAAAGGGACTGTAAGTAAGGACATTTATTATTTGTGTAAATGACCCTAAGTAGTTTAAAATGGTCAGGTACCAATTAAAATATGCAAAATGACTAGACACAAAGCTATTTGCATTACAGTTGGTATAATATTTTTCAATCTGGATGCTTATGTGTCTGGGAAGCCTATGAGAGTTCAGCCCATAAGCATTGGGAAATGCTTATGTCTCAGGAAATGTCTAAACCATACACTTCTAGATGAAAATCTTGTTTAGAGTCTTGTTAAAAGTAATAGGCAAATTGACTAAAAGGTGTCCTACAAAATTTGCACTAAGTTAAGTATTTAATAATAGGTTATTATATAAAACTGGTTTTGATGCATTGGATTTCATTTGGGAGCAGAAATGTACTTGGGCATTTGATAATTTCTCCTGGTATAAAGTTCTTCAGACATCTGGATTCAGTTTTCTTACACAATTTATGAAGGAACAAAGTAAAGTCAACAGGCATTAAAGTGTTTGCTTTTACGTGCAAATAAAACAGAGAAGAAGTGAATGTTCTGCTGGAAGTACTTCAATAATGTGTTTCTTACATGTTTTTGGACTGTATCTGTACATGAAACCATCCTGTCCTTCATTTAGCAAGTGGCAGATTGTTCAGCATCTTCTTTAAAATCACGTACAGAAATATTAGAAGGATTGTGGGATTGTTTTTCCATATAAATATGAAGTTTGAAAGAAAGGCATCCATTGTGCCAGTGCTTCCATAAGCCAGATGCACGACAGATGATGATTATGTATAATAATATATTATCTTACTATGGTTTCTAGTGAATCTATAAGCCAAGAAAAATAATAGGAATATGTAGAAAACAAAGGGAGCATGTAATATTTCAGTGGCAGCATCCCAGAAAAGCCTTGCTCGACAAAAGGGATTCTGCAGTTCTTGTAGCCTAGTTCCTGCCATGTAATGGAGTTAGTTATGGTTAATTCAGCTGGTCCAACTTTCTACTTTTCTGTGAAATTGCCAGTGTTTCAGTTATCATATAGGTATTTCTCAGGAAATCTGACACTGAGTTTTCTACCTTGATGCCCTTCTTGGCTGTGATCTTTCAAAAACTTAGTTGTAGGATAGCTTGCAGGATGAAGATGATTGTTGTTTTGGCAGCTATCATTAACGTAGAATGCATTTGGCACCAAATAGTATGCAATTGGTTTTGAGATTGTCCTTGCCTACAGTAAAAAATAATTGAGTTTTCACATATTGATGGAAGTTTATAGTCTCTTGTAAGTATTTCTCGGTAATGAATACGTAGAAGTTGTGAGTACATAGTTTCATAGTTTAATCACATTCTTTTTGACGGTGAAGAGAAAGTTGTTTCTGGATGTAGGTTTCAGTCTAAAGCTGAAAAAGAAAAATCTTGGGGATTGTCTAGCTCTGTGTTGGTACTTTAGCTATAGATAATTCAGCACATGTAGAATTTCTGGTTTTAGATTGTGAATGCTTTATAATAATATTTTAACACCAAAGACCTGCAAAAAGATACCATCTTTTGCTGGTATCTTTTGATAAAGATGCCATCAAAAGATGGTAAAGTTCAGCTAAGTTAAAGTCAGAAATCAGTGGGTCTGTTCATATTCACACTCTTGAAAGACTGAAGCAGCTGAGGGATGAAAGTGCATTTCTTTCTTCTTCCCATGCTGTACCCCAAGCCTTTTAGGATTTATCAAGATTGATGTTTAAGTCAAATATGTCTAAATCTATGATAATTTTTTTATGTGTGTGTGAATTAATTTGTTCTTTATAAAGTGCAGAGTTTCTGCAGTGAAAAATAGTGGTTTATTTTTAGAAAATCTATGGCTACATATTCATTTCCTTAGTAACTTTCCATGAAACAAACAGCCTGCTCTTCCTCCTTCCCAACCAAAACAAACCTAAACTGGCTTATTAATTTAGGCAGTTTTCCCGTGAAAAATGGGTTCCATGTCTCTGCCACAAGCATTTGTAATCTGCCAGGTCCCTGAAAAAAGTCTTCTTGCATGAAACACTAAAGGACATATTCTAAAAAATACCATAAATTCGCAGTGATGAAGTTGGTGATATTTTTCCTCTGCAATTGTTATATTTCAATTTTACAGAGTAACAGCTTTTGTCTCTTGTGCTCTGTCAAGTGTGTTTGTTCATTTTAGTTGATTGACTCTGTGAATTGCACAGCACAGTAAACTGTGTGTGTATTTACACTGGGCAAAGCTATCCCACCAGGAGAGGCCAAGGAGGCAAAACTGGCTTTGGCATTCAGCACAATGCAAAACAAAAGATTGCTGGTTTGAGCAAGTTTTTACACCTAAACTCATTTTATTGCTTCTCCAAAATACAGCTCATTGTAGCACAGGATGGTACCAGTTGTGCTATAATGTAAGTTTATAAAGTTTATATGGCTTAACATGATAGAATCCTTTAAAAATAGAGCAGTGAAGGGAGTTGGTAAGTATTCTGCAGGAACCAAGTATCAAGTTTACTGATAGTCACGTTGACTGTAGCCATGGACAGTTCAGCCTAATCATTTCAGCCAAGAATTGACAACTCAGAAATTAAATCTTTGCTCTCTGTTTTAAAAGGAAATGGGACTGACAAAACTTGTGACTAATCTTCCCTTTTCCATCTGTTTCCATATACCTGTCAGAATAGATAATTGTTCTGGATCCTATTTTCCGATATACTACAATCTACCACTACCCTTGCTATAACACAGTGTATTTCATGTATTCTGTTGACATTGATGACTCTATTGCAAAAGTACAGTAGTGAATATAAACAGATCTATGTTAATTTCAAAGTCTGCAGAAACACATGACAAAGGAATCAATTCTAAAGAGGAAAAGGACAGATATTGTAATGTCAGAAATTTTATTTATAAATATTTATTTCTGGCATTTGAAGGTGACACTCTTTGGGTTTACTTTTTCAAATCAGAAGCTAATGTACACATCCTGTCTTTGTTTCAGATGCATCACCTTCCAGTCCTTACAGCAGCATCCCTTTCCCTCAAGAATGACAACTCCATAGCTGAAAGGGCTTTGTAAGCATTGTGTATTCAGTATAGAACTGGGACCCAAAGTTTGATTGCTGCCTTTTTAGACAGTTTAAGTAACAGTCAAAGAGTTTTCTGTTGTCTGTGTCCCAAGAGGTTTTAAGCTTTTAGTACATTACTAATAGGATGATACAAATTTGATTTCACCTGCTTTCAGCCAAGAGAAAATACTAAATCTAGTCGGCGTAAAAATAAGTTGTAACACCTCCTTCAGTAACTTCCCATCATGTCTGTGGGCTTCCATTTGAGCTATTTGAACTCATCTTGCTCAGAAATGAAAAGTCTCAGTTCAAAGACTGCTGTTGAGGAATCCTGCAAATCATGTATTCCAGCAGCCTCTTAGTTTCACTTAGGATATGTGTATTATTTTTTCTTTAGTCTGAATAAAATGATACTGTTTTCTGCATTGTCGTAATTCTCTTAAATGTCTTTGTTTTGAAAATTGGATGTACTTTATTGAGGGAGATGAAAAAATCCCCAGAGCTGTGTATGTGTATATATTGAAGTTCTGCTATGTATTTTGGGGAGTTGATTTAACATCCCACCAAGTCAGCGATTCCTGAGTTGGTTTTGTGCCTTTTGTCAGTGGGGATAGTTAAACACAGTGTTGATTCTGTTTTTCTTAGATTCTGCTTTCAGGCTTTTTTTATGGTGCATTCCTTATAGTAATTTTCAAGTAGTAAATGTAATTGCTATAGAAAAGCAGAATATCACAGTTTGACATAATGTTATTTAACTTTCAGGAGAAGTTCTTTAAAAATGTTACATTTTCGCATTGTTTGAAATTTACACAAGCTTTTCTTTGTTAGGTTGGATGTGTGAGAGCTGCTTGTCTGCTTGAGCTCGTTCATGTGTTTCCAGGGCATTTCCATACAAATACGCTTAATCAGCTTTTAGAGGGAGTGTGTTCCGTAACAGGAATTCCCAAGTGAGCTGCAACTTTGAAATGAAAAGGAGGAGAAGCTTTGAAAAAGTTATCAGGTCTTTGAATTAGGAAGAGAGGATCTCAGGTGGAATACTTCAAGAAAAGTTCCTGTCCATTTTCCATGTTGGTTTACGTCTTTGGTTTAGACTGAACATTGTATTGCAAGGAGATCCAATAGGTTACTATTAGCTGTGTGCTCTCTTCCAGTATCCCCAGGCTTTTGGGCCTGTGAAGTCCTCAGCTATTTTTGCTTGTATGTGTGCAGGGAGATATTGAATGGATGGCAGTAAAAAAAAGAGTGTCTGAATCATGAGCTGTGAGAGAAAGCACACAGCTTGCCTTCCTAATTGCCCTTTTTAAACTATCTGTTAATTTAGATAATAATTTGAGGGTCTTGATTTTTTAAATTTTATTTTTCTTCCGGATTACCTGGAAAACACAGTAAGAGTTAGCTTGTTAGGACAATATTTTTTAAGAACTGAAGTAGTGAGTGAGAAAAGCAGTCTCTTTAACAGTCTTGGAAGTTTGTTCCTGTTACTTAGATGCTGCAGCTTTGTTTTAGGAAGATGAGAGTGTTGGTTCTTGCATATGTTTGTAAATTGAGGCATTCATCCAGCTTTCTTTTCACGCTAGGTGTCAGTGTTAACTTACCTGTTCTGTAATCTCAGGTGTAGTCATGCTATTGTTCTTGTGGATACACCTGTATTTAGTTCTCAGTTACAACTTCTGGTCAGAAGGTCAAGACAGTAATGGCAAATAATGATTTGTATGTTGACCCTTAATGGTCTGTAAGTATTTATCTTGTGAAAAACCTTATCTTTTTGCCCTCGATTGCATCAAATAAACCTGGAAGAACCAGCTTGGTCCTTGCTAAAATGTCTGCTACAGATTTTTCAGTACCCAGATTTCTCTTTCATCTTAATTTTGACTAAGACAGCCTTGAAAACCTGAAAGATAGTGGATGGATGGTTACTGCATTATTCAAAATTAAATCTACTGGGATCATTCCAGTTGGGCTTTCATCTTCTCAAACTGTAAATAATTAGCTGACTAGCAGTAATTCATACGGTGTCTTGTAAGGTCATTTGTTAATGTGTTACTTGAGCATATTTATAGATTATTCGAAGGCATGTGGCTATTTGCCTTGTTTCTTTTGGTTTACAAAAGTTTTTTTTAAAGTTGCCTGTGTTTCTTCGGAGGCTTTGTAATGCCGACCATAATGTAAATATCCTGGTGGTTGATACTGATCTCGGGTATCAGGAGGTAGGGGCACTTCTCTGCAAGCAGCTGTGACAGTAACCACAACCCGTCTTCTTGGATAAAAAGCCTCAGTGAAGGTATTGTGTTTAGTAATAACAAATAGTGTGACATGATGAGCAATGGAGTAAACACTGCTCTTTTTATCTCTTTAGCTTCTGCAGAACCTATTACTCTGTTACTCTATAAATTAACAGTTGTTTATTTACATTCTTTTAAGTGTATTTTTATTTCAGGGTTTTTTAGCTGTGAGTTTGTTACACTGTCCTCTCTTCAATAACACCTCTGTCCAAGAGAGGAGAAGCTGCCAAGTTTGGTATTTTGGGACCTTTAACTCAAAGGAGGCAGCAATTGAGTTTGAGGCCTAAGGCTTTACTGAAATGTAAGCACAAATGTTTTTCAGGCATCTTAAATTTTTTTTGGAAGAGTAGACATATGTCAAACGTATTGGTGCTATTTTTTCATAATGAGAAAAAATAGTCTCTAAAATAACACACTTATTTCTTGTAAGTTGTCAGAGAGTAAGGTAGTGGCAGTGGGGCTTGGCAGGTTGACTTGGGATTCCTGTAGCCAGGAACTTGCTGGCCACGGAGACCTGCACAGAGGTGAAAATGTTGTAGAGGTGCACCCTGTTTGGAATTTTTTTACCTGCTTTACTTATCTACTTTTTTAATCTACTATAGCTTCCATTTTTGGATATATAAAGAAGGGAAGTATTGCCCATATGATTAGAAAAACAGTATGTTTTTATACAGAGTTTCAAAGACAACACAGCAGAATTTGATTGTGTAATTTGCCTTTTGGTTTTGAGCAATGCTGTAACACAACTGAGCAAATACATTTTTCTAAGAGTAGTAAAGAGAAGCTAGAATTTTCAAGTTATTTTTTTAATTTTAGAAAGCTGCAGACATGCAGAAGTTGTAGCTGCTGTTGATGTGAACACTCTTGCCAATGCTGTTTATAAGCACAACTTTCCCAGCACGCCGTTATGGGCAAAGACTATTGAGGTGAGTAATTAATATGTTTTTTACCATAGTCTGGCATTTGTAAGATGTGAGTTGCTTTCACTGTCTTTATTACTAACAAGATAAACAGAAATATTTATGTTATTATGGATAAAATAGTTTTGCATTAACTTTGGTTGCTTGTGCTGTATTTGCTTGTTGAAGTAAGAGGGATTTCATACTGAAGGCTTTTCTTGTAAGTCTTGCCTTCTGCATGAAGAAAGGTTATATAAATGTCAAGAGGAGCACTTACCATCAGTGAAGGAATGTCAAAAATCATATTTTCGGATAAAAAAAATATTTTCATGTACTTTGAAAAAATTTAATTAAATTACTTGGGGCATGCCTTTGTTTTGAAGTTTTATTTGGGCTCAGAGAAACACAACAAAATATATTGGACTGAACACTCCTGAAATCTTTTTTAATGGTCTCAATAGATAAAATGTTTTAGGAATTCTGTCACTTGCCAAATTATTTGAAAAATAACTAAGTAAAATTGGATTCTGTATTAATAGATGATGGGCAAGCTAGGCATGAAGTTTTGCATGGATTGAGTTAGAAATTACTGTATACTTCTGAATCTTCTTTTACAGTTTTACAACATGACAGTAAAAGATACTGTGTCTGTTTCAAGACACCAGTTTAAGTGAGAGTTAAATAGGCGGCTAAAGGTTAACTGCTTATTCAGCACTCAATTATAACTGGCTAAATGATAGGTTATTGTTTTCTAATGGGAAAAGAATATGAATCTTTGCCCGTATCATTTTATAGAAGACAAGAGCAGATTATTAGAGACAGTGACATCTTCTTCAAATATAATGGAAAAGAATATCAGCTTTTGTCTAGTTTTCTGAGGGTAGCTACATTACATTTCCTGTATAGGTATCCCTCAGAATATGTAAGGAGTGATTTCTTTGAGCAAGTCATAACTACTTGATCATTGTCCTTCCCTCCTGGCCCCTTAATGTGGTGATCCTCTAGTGTTGGTGAAAACACCAACACCAACAGTTTAGAGGAATTTCTACCAGTGTAATTAATTCCTACCACAGACCTAATTCTTTCTTTTCTAAGCAGGATTGTAGAGGAGAATTCCAGCCGTACAGTATCTTTGACTACTTTTTATAGGGGAAAAACTATGAAATAGACTTTATAGGATGCATTGCCAGTGGGCTCCTAAGAGCTAAAACCCGTAATTTGGATCCATAAAAATTATCATATTTGCACTTGAGCTACTTTACTTCTCAGATATTTTTACACATATTTTGAGTATGTGAACACTGGTTGTGATATACAAAGACTTCATATCTGAGTAATGATACTTTATTTTCAGGAGAAATAACAGTTGACTGAAAGAACCACTAAACACCTCAAAGAATGAACAGATACAAACCTCAAGATTATGTATAAATGCTAACCTTATTAGTATTAGTGTTTTGTTTCATATGAAGAGCAGTGAATGCATATTTACATTTTATGGTCTGCCAAGGTAGAATATATTTTTAAATTACTAGCTCAAGTGATAGATTAGGTAGTTTTTTGCTAAGTGAAGTATACTGGAAGTAAGAGGGATTTGATTGGAAAGATTACTTGAGAATTTCATACAGTTCACAGCACTCAACATTCTTCAATTTTTTTCTGTTTTCAGGGCATAACACTGAAAGAATTTGACAGATTATCTTTTGATATGATTTTGTTGAGTCCTCCCTGTCAGCCTTTTACAAGGTAGGTACAGCACACTTGGGAAAAAAGTGTAGTTATTGCACTATATAAGGTCAACGGAGAAATGTTATCAAGAATGACACTATGTGTGGGTGATCTGTGTATCTTTCTCTTCCTAAGAAAATGTGTTATAGCTCTGTTTACCATGATATTTACTAAAGTGAAAGAAATGCAGCAATTTCCATCTTAATTGTTGATCACCTTCTTGCATATGTATATATTAATTCAGTTTAATTTAATCACCAATTTTGTGAACTGTATTATTCCTCTAATAGTGAAATTTAGTGTTTGGGAGTCCTGCCTTTCCTTTTAGATATCAATCTAATATTTTCCTGGGGCAACTCCAGAAGGAGGATTGGAATTTCTCAGTTCTGCCTGAGACTTAAGAGTGTAATGTGGTTTTATTTGTACTTTGAAAATTGCACATGTACACAGACAGATTATTCTGAAGAATATTTCTATTTTAGCCAAGACCAGAAGGATAATGGCTTTGAAATGATTTTGTGCATGATAAGGAGAAATATCTTTCTGATTAAAGACTGAGTTTAATGAGATGTTATTTGTCAGATTAATTTGGAATTCATATCATTTGACAGCAGTGACCAGTGGGGTAAGATTCTAGTAACTGCACTCATGCAAAGTAGTAGCTTAATGAAAAAAGTCTGTTGATGGTGATGATAATGACTGTGTAAGAAAGTATATCTCATTGAATGTTCTAAGATTGAAAAGAAATCTCTTTAAAATGGTACTGATCTGTAAAAATGAATTAGTAAAAAAAAAAATAACCCTCTGATGTATATAGGAAACATTTCAGATTTTTTTTCTTTATAATAGGATGAAAAGAAAAATCTGTATGGCTAATTAATTTAGATACATGTTAAACATGTTAAAGCTCTTATCTTACCAAGCTTTTTTTTTTTTTTTTTTTTTTTCATGAGCTAATACAAGTATAAGTTAGGGAAACACAGGCCTGGAATCATTATCATTTTTGTAACCTACATAATCTTTCCAGTTTCGTGTTAGAGAATTGATTCCAAAGTTATTCATGTGGGGCTCAATCCTGCTAAATGGTGAACAATGAGGCTTTAATTCATAGAAGTAATTTAATATATTCAGTGCAAAATAGCAGGGTATTCCCAGAAACCCAGTGGGGGTTTTTTGTTCATTCAGAGCCAAGTACGTTCAAAGGCTTTGCTGGACAAGACCAGAATGCTAAAGCCTTTGCAGACAGGGGAGTGGATTTCATTACTGAATGCTTCCATTTTAACCTTGCTGTGAGCTGATGGATTCCAGAGGCAGACATTCATTCCTTAGAGCATCTCTCAGGACACTGCCTCTGTGAGCAGGTCCTCCTGTCTGTACGTGATGCTTTTGCAGAATCCCCTTTCAAAACTCAAAGCAAAGTGTCAGCATTCTGTAGAAAGATGTAACTCAAATGCCAATGTGCTCTGACTAATACACCGGTGTTTCTTTATTCTTTCTTAGAACTGGCCTGCAAGGTGACGTGTCCGATCCACGGTCCAAGAGCTTTCTCTATATCCTTGATATTCTCCCAAGGTATAAATGACCTTCTACCTTCATTGTAAAGCCCCTTTTGTAACTAGACTTTGTTGTAACTAGGTCTTCTATATTTCAGTGAGACAAGATAACCTTTATTGTTTTAGAGGGATACTACTAGTGCTGTATTCTGTGTTTGTTTTCACGTGATCATATGTGACTTACAAATACTTGCATTTTACTAATGCTGTAATCACTTCATTGTTGCTGTATATGCTTTCATCATCTGGTTTCCTTTTCATTATGTCTGTTTAAACTGTGCCTAGATGATAAATTAAAAGAGTTCTTTCCAGTTCAACATCAAATTTGCATTGATTTTACATAGAAACAGGAGTAGGTAATATAGTAGTTTGTCTATTGGTCTCATGGAAACATGAAATTTTTAAAATAATGGGTTACAAAAGCTTAGATTCAACGTATAGTCATCTTTTGAAGAGGTACTGTGGCATTCACATTCTCAGGACAGAGAGACATAATTCTGTCTCTCAGGAGAAGCACAGAGAGAAGAAGAGAAAACAACCTTTATCTCTGCTCCTTTGTTTTCCCCATGTGGAATTTGGTATGGAGATTGTTTACCTGAAGTGATTGCTTGATTGGATTCTGGTAAAGGTTGTTTGGGTTCAACGACCAATTGGATCCATCTGTGTCTTGGACTCTCAGCAGGCAGTCACAAGGTTGATAGCTAAGTAAGAAGTATGTATGTAGAATAGGATAGTCTCTCTTTAAATAGTATATTAATGTAATATAGTATAGTTATAATAAAGCTATCCTTCAGCCTTTTGATCTGGAGCCAGACATCATAATTTCTTCCCAGTCGGGGTTGCCTTTTTTACCATAAGGTACCATTTGAAAATTGGTTTAAGTATGCTATTGACTCTACAATGCAATGCATCTTGCAACCACTTCTGTTCATTCATAAAGTCTCTGTTCTTTTTGGTGCTGCTTCTAGATATCTTGGGGCAGATTTGTTTTTGGTTTGTAGTACAATCTCTTGCTTGGAGTAGTAATACTAAAGAATTTGAATAACACTGCATTGTCTGGACAGTGTCCTTGAATTCATCTGTTGTTTTTTGCCTGGTCAGATCCCAGTTCCTAATGAAACAGCCATAATTATTTTTATTAGTGGCAGTCTTTCTTCACCTGGAGACTAGGACAGCTGTTCCCTATATATTCCTCCATTAGTTCATCTTGCTGTCAGGATTGGAGAAGGACGGATGAAAGTTTGGTGTCTCTTTTACTAATTTTTTTTTTCATTAATGCTTTCAACACAGAAGAAAGCCAGTACAAAAAAGCCTTTCTTTCAAACTGATGTTAGCACTGGGAGAAAAGAGTCTTCATCCTTGTTCTAGAAACTTTATGCAGCCAACAGCATTAAATGGAACTGTGTCTTTGCCTTTGTCATGAGCAGAGAGAGAACAATGTCACAGAAGGGCTGAGTGGCTTGGCAGGGTCATACATAAGAAATCTGTGGCAGACAACACAGAGCAAAACACAGATTCTGTAGCCCAGTAAGTTAGACAATTCTTCCTAGAGAAAAAAGAATTGTTATTATTACTCCCCTGCTTCTGTCAGAGACACAAAATTAGGGAGAGAATGTGGGTTGTTTAGAAATTGCAAAGCATTTCTTTTGAGGAACAAGAAATGTAATACAGGTATCCAACTAATCTGTTAAAATGATAAATGAAACCTGGCAGATACTGATTAAGTTAATAATTAGTCAGAATAATAGTATCTTCCATATCCTTAAAGGCATCCTGACCTGGGGATTCCTTTCCATTAAACTGAAACATAGTTAAGAGGCTGGCTGTTTTTGGACATTATAGTGCATTGATACAGAAATACTGCTTCCCAGCTGCTGTGGACTTAGCTGGATAAACAGCAGAAGCTTTTCCTTCTCAAAACCAGAGCTTTAGACACTCCAGGACCTGAATTTTTATCATCATGATGCACAGGACTTGGGCTTGGCTGTCTCACTTTTATCTCAACACTCCAGGAGACACAGCTAATGTCCCTTATCTCCTTGGGGAGGGTTCTTGAAGCAGCACCTACTCTAAGTAGTCAGTGGAAGGTTCAACATGATGGTTTCTGTAGACTTTCTCAGTTCCAGTGGATTTGTGTTTTACTAAGATAGTGCTTATGTGTTTTTTGAATATGATACATTTGTGAGACATTGAGTATGGAGTATTTCAGCCCCAAAAAAGGAAATTCTTAATATGGGAATGATCTGTTTACATTCTAAATTGCTATGTATGCATGCAGTTTATGAAAAGTATAAAATAATTTCTCATCCCTTGGATGTACTTAGCTTTTTTTCAGTCATTTATAATGAAATATTACTAAAATGAGACTCAGAGGTAGCCTGGGATGACAAATATTAGAGATAATGGAAAGGACAGTTTCAAGATCTGGAAAGACATGGGAAATCCTTGGAACACCCAGCCAGCAAAGTCCAACCCAAATGGTCCAGATACTGTCTGTTTATTGTGTCCAAGCCATAACCCAGTGAAATCCAATACTAAAACATCAAAATGCTGCTTTTACAGAAACATTTTTAATGTTAATACCTACCAAGTACTTAACACTTCCTCTTTGTACAGTGATTAGTTGCCTTGTGATCTGTCAATCCCTTGTGAGTGCTGGTATTCAGGCTGTGCTCTGGATTCATTGCTGAAAAATAAGTTTCATAGTAATCAGTGATTAAGAATGTGGGTAGATATACCAGCAGATATAGTCTCCATTCCTCTGCAAGGAATTTGGTTGATGCTGCTTTTTTCCGCCTAATATTACTTTTTCCCTATTATTTTTAGTGTTTTTAAATTTGGCATAGTTTCTTGTACATTTTCCAGTTTCTTGTGAGATACAGTGGTTCTTTTAATTCATGTGTCTTTAATTGGTGGTAATTAAAAATGTGCTGAAACGAATTCTGCTGTGATTTGCTCCAATGGAAGTCCAAAGTCACTAAATTCAATAAGCATGAAGCTGCTGTATGCGGGCATTAACATCCTACTTCTGTATGTTGTTCTGAGATCTCAGTGTGTGACTGACATTGTGTGTCTACATTAGTCTTAGAGAATTAATCAGTGCTACAGAATGTTCCCACAGACTTGAGTCTGAATCATCTATGCTTCTAAATTGCTGGAACAGTCCCTGGCACAGTTTGGGCATGCTTATTTCTCCAGAGATTTAATACAGTGGTTTTGGAATGTGCCTATTTCCAGACCTTTGCACTGATCCTGCTAAAGCTGAGACACCTTCTTCCCCCATCAAAATAAAAAAGTCAAGTTTAGAAAATTGAGAATATCTGCAGTTTGAACTCTAAATATGTTGTGTTTCTTAAATCAGTTAAATAAATACGGGTTCTGATGTGTTATCAGTACGGTTTATGTGACATTTTGACATTGATTTCCAGTACGAGCACTTGAAAACAACAGTATTATGGCTAAGTAGCAATTGGCTTTCCCCCGACAATTATATTTCCTATTATACACTGAATCTATTTAATAATCTGCTTTAGGAAATGAAGAGTGATAAACATTTTCAAAAGTACATGCATGGAGTACAAGAGGGTACAGGTGTTCATCCAAACATAGGTGGAGTTTGTGGTTTTTACCAGCAGTCCACATTTTTAATTCAGTTGGTTTTTTAAGGATGCTAAACTTTAACAGCTAGCATGATGTGGAAATACTTTGATCTTTCTACTAGCTAAACAGATCTGTGGATGAATGTAATGTACTTTACATCTTGTTACACTGATTTGCTTTTTTTTCCTTGTAGGCTTCAGAAGCTTCCAAAATACCTACTTTTAGAAAACGTTAAAGGATTTGAATCCTCTTCTGCGAGGTAAACTCTAATTAATTTATCCAGGTTTTAGTTTGCAAAAAGGATATATTCTTTAGAAGGAGAAGGGATTTATTCTTTAGAAGGGATTTTTATTTCCTAGAATTGGAGTTAACAAAATAGCTGGAGATGGGACAGGAATTAAAATCTTAGGTTGTGAAAAGAACTTGCTAAATAATTGGTTGTGTCTCTAAGTGGAAAAAATACAACAGTATTTTATTTTTAGTTTTATTTGATTTGATTTTATTTGATGATCATGTTTGCTTTAGAAAAGGTCAGAATTAGTTTTAAAAGAAAAATAATAACAGGTGTTACAATCAGAGGCTTCAGGGGCTTATTCATGACAGGATCCCATGGTATCTTGTGTTATGATCACAGAATAGTCTTGGGGCTTTCTTGAGTGCACTGTTAGTAGATTATCCCTGATTCAGAGCTGCCATCAAATGGTCCAGAGATACAATAAGAAGGTTGTATTTAGTCTTTATCTGAAATGTGGAAGAGGAAATGTGTCACTACAGTTACCTAATCACAGCAGGAGCACTCACCTCTCTTGTGACCAAAGCAGGAGACAGTTGCCATCTTCCTTCTCGGTTCTCACTGGAACAGAGTGGGATCTTTCTGTGCACTCCTTAAAGCACCAGCTGCCACCCTCTATGTCATGCTCTTAATGAATGTGGCAGGCAGCTGGGAGTCATGCTCAGCTGGTTCAGTGTTCAAGGTCTTCTCTTGTAGTCCTCAGGATTCCTTAGGCTGGGCCTTGCTGTCCAGTGCTTGGGACAAGCTGTACTGTAGAAAACACCCCAGTTAGGACACTTGTTTTCTCTTATGACACCTGGGATGAAGTCTCGCATGCAATGCTGGGTACAGGTCACAGCTCCTGTCTGTTGTATAGTTCCAGCCTAGTGCAGTCTGCGTGGAATACAGAAGAAAAGTATTTTTAAGATTATTTCCCTTACAGTCTTTTCCCATTGTTTATAAAGCACTGTCCCACCTCACTTTTATAATCAAAACCACTGATTTTTATCATCCCTCTATTTAGCCTTTTTGTTAGGCTTAACTGGTGCTGTGTATAGGAGCAGAAGGAAGTAGTGAGCTATTTGTAGTGATTTTAATCTTCTGTTTTATGATTCTCAATAAAGAGAGTATCTTGCCCTCTGATTAGTTTCCTTGTTGACACACTACAATTACTTTCCTAGAGATAGGATGTTTTTGAAGAGGCATTTGCACTGTTATAAGAGTGAGGTGCCTTTGAATGTATAATAGTCTCTAACACTGAACTTTATATGTTGTCTCTCAAATTCAGTAATAGATGACATATCAATAATTTGCTGTCCAATTATTTCAATGAATGCTTTGGTAAATATGATGTTGAATTTAAGCTGTGTTTATTTAGGATTAAAAAAGAGGATGAAGACTAGGTGAAGGGAGTAATTGCTTTTTAATTCCTTTCAGAAATGAACTTTTGCAAACACTAGCAACATGTGGATTTAAATATCAGGAATTTCTCTTGTCTCCAACCTGTGTGAGTACTAAAATTGCTTTATCATTATTTAATTGTTCAAAGTGCACTGAGTACAAGAACATTTGAAAATTCTGTATTAGAAAAGAGTCATGCCTGAAGCTGAGGTACACTTGAAAGAGAAAACCAACTGACATGACTTCTGATTTCTCATACTGGTTTATGCCAGTATTGTATTGCTGTTTGTGCTCAGATCCTAGTCCCATATTGCTTTGCTACCATTTGATATTTTTAAGAAGGCATGAATTTACACTGTAACCAGGAAGGTGGTTTTCCCTGCAGGAGCCTCATTGCTTCAGAGCCTCTGGATTTCCCAGCACAGAAAATGTGACTGTTTCTTGTGGGAGGAGGAGCTTTGTTTCTATGTTACCCTGGAAACTGAAAAAAGTTTGAGAGAGATTTCAGATTGTGCAAGACTAACTGGAATCAGTGAAGTACCATAATATTTGAGAGAAGCTAATAGAATGTAGCTTGAAAACCAATTGTGATAGATTTATTTAATTGTTAGGTGTCTTATAATTCCTTGTTTAAAAAGACAAAGAGAGACTTTTTTGCTTTTAACAGAAAACAGATAGTACCTGTCCCAAGAAATTGTGAGGCATGTGAATTTTTCTATTTGTGTCACATAAAATTTTGTTTACATTCATATTCATTTACAGAGATGGTCAAAAGCATGAGATGCAGAGAACAATTGCTCATTTGGATCTTTGGAAGTACTTAGGTATGGAAGTTACAAGTGTGTAGATATTATCAACTAGTACCTAGAGAATACCCTGGAAAAAAGGAGGCTTCAGGGTGACTTAATTGCAGCCTTCCAGTACCTGATGGGAGACTACAAGACAGAGAGGGACTAACAAGAGTTTGTAGTAACAGGACGAGGGGGAATGGATTCAAACTTAAAGAGTAGTTTTAGGTTAGAATCAGGAGGAAGTTCTTTGTGATAAGAGTGGTGAGGCACTGGAGCAGGTTGAGCAGAGAAGCTGCGGATGCCCCGTCCCTGGAAGTGTTCAAGGCCAGCTCTGAGCTGGCCTGGTGTAATGGAAGGTGTCCTTGCCCACAGCAGGGGGCTTGGAACTAGATGACCTTCAAGGTCCCTTCCAGCACAAACCATTTTATGAGTCTCTGATTCTGTGAATGCTGATATTGTCTGAAGTCATAAAATATATTAGTATGTCATAGTTCTGTTACTGCACGTAATGGCAGATACCTTGTATGATGCTATAGATCACTTTTTCTCTAGTATCACATGGACTAAAGGCTTCTGAATTTTGATTACAGCTTGGCATTCCCAATTCCAGGCTGCGGTATTTTCTAATTGCAAAACTTCAACAAGAACCATTTTCCTTTCAAGCTCCTGGTCAAGTGAGTCTATTCATGTTACTTCAATTTGCTTCATTTCATGAAGATTGAGGGTTAAATTTTCAGTTTAGTGCTGTGTGTTGATAAATGGAGAAGAGTGAGTGAGTCCAACAGAAAAGTTAACTTCTGTCTTCTTTTTCAGCCTGGATATTGAGCTTTGTAAGAACTGATGTACAAATCTGTAGCTTAGATGGCTTTAAACAGTTGGGAGATGTGTTTTCTAGCCTGATAGTGGGCTAGAAAACAGGCATACTGCTATATTTTTTACACACTTGTGAAAGGTCTTTCTGCAAAGGCAATTATTTGAGGCTGGTCTGACATCATTGTGAATAGGTCAACTAATCTTGATACTACTGCTTTTTAAATATTCATGAAAATAACATCTAAAGGTTATTGTGAGCATCTCAGAAGGAATTCTTACTCTCTTTGTGGTTGACTGTCAAGTTGTTTATTAAATACAGTTCTTTAATTTTATTTTTGTCACAATTTCCTCTTAGATATTGACAAGATTCCCAGATCAGGATCCAGAAGGTGTACTCAAGGAAAAAGTCGCTGACAAAGTGGGTGAAACCAGTTCTTCTTTGTCCACTGAGGAGAATAATCTGGATCCAAACATTGGTCCAGATTCCAGCAGCAAGAGTTTACCAAAAGGGCCCTTTCTGTTTAAGCTTGAAACAGTAGAAGAAATGGAAAGGAAACATAATCAGGATAATGATTCCTCTATTCAAATGCTAAAAGACTTCTTGGAAGAGGAAAATGAAGAAATGAGTCAATATTTCTTACCACCAAAGTCCTTACTGCGTTATGCTCTCTTGTTAGACATTGTTAAACCCACCTGCCGGAGATCCACGTGCTTTACAAAAGGGTAAGTTGCCAAGAAGATATCTTGCTAAATCATGTCCTGAAAATTTAAGTGTATTTTCTCGCTTGTGTCTGTAAAATCATAGGTGTTTCATCAAAAAATCCTAGGCCTTGAAAGAAATCTCCTTTTATATTGTGCTGTCTAGTCCAGTGGAATGCCTGCATGAGAATCTGTCTGGCAGAACATCATGTGTCCACTCCAAAAAGGCATTCACAAAAGACAGTTGCCATTTGTTGTTGACCTTCACAGAAGCTTAATTATCCCTGCGGAAATATGGTTCCAGTAGACTGGTATAGTGCTGATTCATTAATGAATTGCTTTATATTGCTCAATGAAGTTACAAAGTGTCATGCATGACAGATCTATTCCTCATTAAATCTGTCTCCACTGTACATTTTATTGATTTCTTGGATTTTTCAGCTATATAGATCAGAATAGCTGTGGATTGTCATGAAACCAGTTAGATTGCTGCATTACAAATCATACTTGATGGAGCAGAACATCAGTGCTTTTCTGTCTAGTAGTTTTCTGATTTGTACTTTGCAATTTTAAGTTTGACTTCTAGAAGTTGGTGAGTGTTCTGAAACTCCATGGAAACCTGGTCAGGAGCTTTTCCACTGAATTCATTTGTATTGAAACATTCTGGTTGGAACCCGCAAATTTGTGGGAATTTTTAATTCTGATAAATGTTTCTAATTTGATTGGGTTTTTTTGAGTTTGCTGAGTGTTTCAATAAAATGTCTTAGATTATGAGTTAAAGCTAATTGTAACATTTTTTTTTTTTAATTAAGAGAAATTAGACTGCCAGATTGACAGAATTCCTGCAGGATTTTTTTAACTTTTATACAGTAAAGAAGGAGAAAAAGAATTTCTAAGTTTGAAATTTATGCAATGGGAAAGGCTTTCCCTCAGGTCTCATTGATATATATGTATGTGCCTTTTCTGCTCTCACTCTTTTGAGTTGAGGGGGAGTCAGCATCTTGTGGAATATCTTTCTTAACTAGATTAGTCAAAAGCCCCCTTAGCCAGAATGGTGTCTGATGTGTCTTATGTATGCCTTAAGTGTCATCAAAAGTAATTGGCCACTTGTGGTTTCACTAAAATACATCATAGTAGCTTGTGGTCATGTTTATCAAAATCACACTCAAGGAGGCTCCTGAGTAGTTAAAATCAAGTCTTTGTACGTGGTAGGAAATCTGACACTGGAGAAGGTGACTCTTATCCCTCTGCTGATATGGAGGTAGTTGTGGTGGTAGCTCTGTCTGATCTACCATCTTTGTTCTGTTTTCCAAGAATCTTTGGGGAATTTGGTTGCCAACATGTTTCTCAATGGAATCATCTAATTTACAGCTCTGCATTAAGAGAAAGTTTATAATTACATCTCATTAAAGTCACTTTCTGAGGCCAAAAATAAGTCCCTTCTGTATCTGTTCCAGAAGTTCTGTTTTTATATTTCTCTGAAGCATGAGATCTAGGAAAAAGACCCCTGAATGGTGTGGATCAGCACTCTGGGTAGTGCAGAGTATCCCTCTGCTGCTGTGCCTGTCTGGTGTCTTTCTTGTAAGCTGCGCTGACCATCAGCTTTGAGAGTGGGAGAAAAATTTCCCTCTTTTCTCTTTGGTTTTCAGGAATTTCTATCAAGGTTCATGTGATGGAAATAATCTGGGTGTGCCTTCTCTAGTCCTTTCTAATTCAGGGACTTTAAACACAGATAGCTCATCAGTGATTTTTGCTATATCACTATGTCTTTTGAAAAGCTTCGGTGTAATATACAGCAAAATGTAATGGCCTGTGATGCATGAGAGATCAAGCAGGTATTTCTGTGTGCCCTTCTGATCCTGACTTCCTGGGCACTTAGTGAATGATTGCTGAGTTCCATGAGACTACCAACACCGTGGTTTCTCTTTGCAGTGTGTTTGTGGTGGCTGAAGTTTTGAAAGGAAATTGACTATTTTAAAGGACAGAGGAAGTAAAAATCGTATCTAACTTCTCTAGATGTAGTCATTCCAGATATACTTTAAATTTTTGATATGCTGTTGACAAGAGAAGTGATATCTTTTAAAATAGTGCAAATATCAATTACAGAAGAGTTTTCTTGCTTTGTGGAAATTACTTTTTGTCAGTCAAAATATTGCAACACAATATACCCAGAAAAAATACATGTATGAAATGAAAATATTTTTTAAAGCTTACAGAAATAAAAGAGGCAGGGAATCTTGAATCAGATGAAAATTGAAGACTGTAATTTCTTAAGCCAACTTCTTTCATTGTAACTTGTAATGAAACTTGTAATGAAATTTGTCAGAAAATCAGTATGTCTTTTTTTTACTGTGGCAAAATTTAATTATGTTCCGGGTCTAAGGTAGGAATGTTAACTTTTCTGTAGTCAGCACCTTCAATAATAATAAAAAACAATCCCGCTAACATTACATTAGCCATATGCCCACATTTGTATTAAAAACCAGCATGCATACACATACACGGCCTTTAATGCGCACAGACACCAACTGGATTTTTTTTTGGTGGGGGTGGAGTTCTGTACTCTAGTGCCAATTATTTAGACAGGAATATTTATTTTTCCCAATAAAACACTTCAATACCACTCTGAATTTTACCCCATTTATTCATTTTGGCTCAGTTACAGTAAACTGAAATATTACCAGATGCTATATAAGAGGATGAGGATTCCTCAGTGCTGTGTGTATCACATCGTTAAACTTTGTGTTAGGGAATTTGCAGAATGCAACTAACCAATTAAAGATGATGTATTTACAAAACAGATTCCACATGTATTTAATCTGTAACAGTGTTTAGGTGTTCTATTCCTGCAGAAGATTTGTAACCACTTTGTTTTAAAATGAGTGCTGCTCTGCCTTTTATTGGCAGAACTAATTGTAGCTTTTTCAGCTGAGGATGAAATACTCCAGATTGAGCCATGCTGGGTCATTGTATCTGTGCTGAAGGGAGAGTATTCTTTTATTCACTGTGGAATTAGAGAGGCTTGAAACATAACTAGTGCCATGCTTTAGGAATGGGTCCCAAGTGGAACAAAAGACCTTTATAATTTCCTTTACAGTTGTACAGATAAAACTAGAGAAGAGTGTCTGTTAACAATTGATGCAGACCACATCCCTCTAATGCAGGGGATCTTCTGAAGTCCTTCCACAGGACAAAGACATCTGTTGTCTCGACTCACTCTCTTTCTGTTCAGAATGTTCAAACTTCCATAGTTACACCAACAGAGCATGTTTCTGAAAGCCCATGATTATATTTAAATGATAGCCTTGAAGAGACTACAGAGTAAACATGTTGTTAAGCAGTCAACCACAAAGCATGCAGAACAGCTATCATAGATTTGAGAATTCAAGTTTACTTACTGTTTACTTGGATTTAATTGTTTTTCTTCTTATTTCTGTCTTCTGTTCTGCATGGATGCCTGGCCATCACCCTTCCTTAAGTAGAAAATCTACAAGCAACCAGAAGTTAAACCTGACTGAACCACTTTGTTCCTAATGCTTTGACATGAAAGCTGGAGGCTCACACTGGTGGTCCTCCTTTTAATAAGGAGCACTAATTTGAACCTCTGGGACCATTTTACCTTTAACACATTTTGCCGTAATGTAAAATTGGTTTAGGCAATGTAGATGGGGATTTTTTTTTGTGTTCCTATGCTTGAATTCTTTGGCTTTGTGTAGGTGCCATGTATAAGACACTAGTGTGGATATACCCTTGAGCACTGAGGGCAGACTCATCCCCAGAGAGCACATTCAGAGGGAACTGCACTCCAGGGTTATCAGAGTTTATAACAAGAGTTTCTGCTATATCTATCCAGGAGGCTGTTTGTTCATCAAGGCTAAGGAACCTAAGTAACCTCCCTGCACCTTTGCAGTTTTCAAGGCCATGAAATCCAGTGAAAATACTAATATAAGTTTGTTATTGTTGTTGTTAAGGTATGGACACTATGTAGAAGGGACTGGCTCAGTTCTGCAAACAGCGGTAGATGTACAGGTAAGTGTGCAATCTAACATATTAAAATTACTTATTTTAAAACTTGAGACTTGTTTCAAAGCTGGAGTTTTTTTCTGTCTTCTCCTTTGTTATTCTGAATATTATAAGAAAAAATCTTTTAAATGTACATTTTATGGCAGCTGAGTTTCCAATTGGTTTACTTTGTGTTCCTAGACAGCAGTTTGTTTTGACCAAAATTACAACTGTGTCTCTCTGTGAGGAGAATATGAGTACCTATTATTTTACTATCTGTCATGCCATACAGAGGTTTCACAAGGGTATGTGAAAACCTTAAAAATTACTAGTTCTATGGAGAACCTACAGTACAGTGAATCAAGAGCTGTTTTTTGTATGCATATAATTCAGGAAATATTGTCAGATGTTTAACATGTTTGAATTTCAAAATTATTATTTATCTGCGAAGAGTATTTTGAAAAGTTCTACTATTGATGCTAAGCTCATGACCAAGTGGTATTTAGGCATTGGGGAAGGTAATAAATGTACTGGTTAATCAGCATTCAAAGATACTTTTCACAAAGCCTGTGTTGTACACAAGCCTTTCCTCCTGCACTTCTGTGCTGTTCAATAATATTATAGGGCATTTCTAAGCATAAGAGGAATGCAGCTCTGGAACTCAGGATAATCTCAAAGCAAGAGTATTACTAATAAACAGCTGCATCCACACAGCTTAGTTTGTATGAATGGTCTGTTACTGAGTTATTTTGAGTCACTGTCCTTTGTCATTAACAAATGTTTATTCTTTGCCCCATTAAGTATTGGTATAGCTTGGAATTGGAGGAAGAAATGATGAACGTCCTAATGGCAATATTGATTTCTTTCTTGCAAGTCCGTGTGTTGAGATATTGTCTGCAAGAACAGAGTACAAATAACACTTTCAAGGAAAATATGCTATTGTCTTTGTTACTTTGATAATTAAGGAAATAATCTATTAAGATGTGACTGTAAATTTTGCGTATCTGGCCTGCATCAGTCATATTTCTTGGTTTTATTATTCTTCATAGCTTGAATCAGTGTTTAAACACATTGACGAATTACCAGAAGAAGAGAAGCTTATAAAATTGTCAACACTAAAACTGAGGTACTTTACCCCAAGAGAAATAGCAAATCTTCATGGATTCCCTTTGGAATTTGGTACGTGCTGCAAAATACACACTTCTACATTATTCTTCAGAAATGCCAAAGTAATTTTTTTTTATACTGGGACTAATCCAGTCTTTATTTTGCATTTTTTTTCAGACTGCTCAGTTCTTATGGTTGATTGATTCTTGCTGTTTGGCTAACTTTGAATTTCTCTAAAATTCCACTAGTTTTTTTCATGTTTTCTAAGCGCCAGCTTCTGTGATGAGGTTTATCTTCATAAGCTAAGAAGAAGGTTTTGGCATGCAAAATGCTCTGTTAGTGAAGCACAATGGAGGAATACCTTTGTTTAACATTGAAACTATTTATTCAGCAGTCAGTATTATTCACAACTGTGATAATCAACATATCCTGCTAGCTTAGGAAGTCTGTTTGTGGTTCTCAGTGTTTGAACTGCATGCTTTCTCCCTTCCACACATGTACAGCTGCTGACAGGGAATTTCAGATGGTACAGATATTTCTTTGTTGAGGAGTAACCAGTCTATTAAGCCATCTCTATTTTCTAGAGAAGGCAGCCCTTGGTCAGTTTCTTCATTTTCTAAGTGGTTGTTTTTTTGAGGAAGGAGTCAAGGAACAAGACTCAGCAGTATCAGTACACTGGATACACATGAACAAGAATTAAACCTGAAGTAAATTCATCAGAATTCTCCTTGTAAAAAAGGGCAAACAGGAAAGTGTAGCTGTTACTGTCTGCTAAGAAACTGTCCTGTTGAAATCACATCAGATCAATTTATTGTCACTCAGCAACAGAAGAATACATAGAATCATGGAAATGTTTGTGTTTGAAGAGACCTTAAAGATCATCTATTTCCCCTTCCACTAGACCAGATTGCTCAAAGAATAAGACAGCACTGAACCTTGAGTAATTTGTTATATTTTGCTTTGACTTCCTCAGTGACTTAGAGTTCTGATAAATGTGCTTGTTACTGTGTTTTTCTTTCTTTCACAGATTTAGTTTGTTTTTTTCTTTTATTACTTACTATATTCAAAATTGTTACATTTGGAGAGCATTATCAAAGTTGCACAGTGAAACTAGAGCTGCCAGCACTAAGCTTACATGTGTATGAGTATTTGAAAATGTATTCTGTGTTGTTACATACCAACATGCAATGCTTTTTCACGGCCTCTTGTCTTTAATGGATCTGTTCTATTTGCAGACAGCCTCTTAGCACAGCTCTACAGCTCTGTTTCATATTAATGTAGACTGATGTCAAAATACTTGAACTTAACAGAGCTGGAATGGGCTTGTATAGGTTTATCATGCTGCTCAAGGTCTCTTGAGCACAAAATTGCCCATTTTCTCTTTTTTTAAATACAGCTGGAGCTTTTCCACTGTTAAATCAGTCTCTGAAACGTTACTGAGAGGTGCAGTAGGGTTAATGTGTTCTTGTATTTTACAAAGGGAGAACTGAGGCAATGGAGAGATTTATGTTGGAAAGACTCCACTTCTTTGGGGTGATCAGTTTGTGAAACTTGACTTTTATCATTTCATAGTGCTTGGAGTGTTACCCTGCTTTCTGTTTAAAGTTCATCTGAAGAGACACCTGTGAGGTTCAATATTTTTGCAAACCAGAACTGAACTCTGAAGACAAATCAGGCTTCTGAATTTGAGGCTCATCCAGATCATCACCATGTACAATGTGTTCATTTAGCAGACCTGTCTTTTGTTGTTTGGGATTCTACCTTTCAGTGGAGAGTAGCCTTTTGCCATAATTATGGCAGTATTAAAATTGTCTTACAGTTCTTGCAGTTTCCTTCCCTCTTGGTACCGCTTTTCCAACTTTGATGACACATAAAGCAAGCCTGTCTCTCATTCAGTGGTTTCCTCTGGCATATACTCCTGAGTCAGAGGTAGAATATGCATTTCCCCCTGCACTGAGTCACAAGTCTGACATTTCTTTGTTTTTAAAACTTCTCCCACTTTTTGGTTAAAAAAGTGTTATTTTACTCTAGCCTGACAGAAATCTTTAGTGAATTTAGGTACTACAATCTCAGTTTCCTTTGAGAATTTGCAAGCTCTGGATTTTTTTTTAAAGTGGATATCTTTATGGCTGCAGCAAAGGGTGTTGCCCTGACAGCATTTCTCCTATGCTAAACTTCAAGTAATTATTGTGAAATGTGGTATTTTCATATTAAAATGTGTTAAAAGTTTTCTGCTACTGTGTTCTATAGTGACAGCAACATTTAGGCTGAAATTTTCAAAACCAGGAAGCTTGGAATTGTACCCACTGTAAATACGTTATTGGTCCAAGAAACTGAAGCATGGGGAAACTATAAGCTGAAAACTATGTGAACAGACTGTGAGCAGCTTTGTAACAGATGCTGTTACTAGTGCAGCTACAGCATCATCAGAAGAAACGTGATTGTCTAAATGGTTCTGCATTTTAAGAAGTTGATGGCCTTTTATAATATGTGATGTCCAGAGCTAAAGTCATTGTTCATTCTTAACATGACTAGATTTATTTGTGCTTTTAACATCAAAAGGTATAGATAGTAATTGCACTGTAGTTCAATGAAATACTGCAGTAATTTGTCTTAGTCACTCTGGTGGGTCCCACAGCAATATCGTTAAAAGTGAACACAGTGTTCTTGCACCTGTGACCTGCTTTCATCAGAGTGGTGTCAGGATGTGTTTTCCATTTTTCTTATTAACAATGCATGCAAGCTTTTAGGAAACAAAACCCAGCGTGGTGGGGAAGTATGTGCTGTTAAGACCTCAATGTCCTCAGGTTCTGTGTGTGACATAAATGCTGCAGTGAGAGTATTGTTGAATCTGACCTTCTGATGTAGGCCACTCTGGAGCCAAGAAGATAGAAAGTGCAAGACAATGTTAACAGTCAGAGGGAGGAGGTTTGGGATAAAGGAAACCATGTGTTCTGAAAATTAATTCTTGGCTTTTGGTTGCCAAAAGGTAGAAGGAAAAATTCTGACATTTTCAGTATTCAGATAGGCTTCTTGGGCTGTAAGTGCATGTATGTGTACATAAATACATACTTATTTTCATGTATGCTTTTAAAATGCTTTTATTCTGTACCTTATTCATTGATGGAATGTGAAAACTTCATCTAAGGAAGTGTGTGTGGGAGTGCAAATGATCGTTCCAAAGACAGAGGAACGGTTGCCCAAAAGTGAGTGCCAGGAAGCCGGGCAGAGTGGATGGAGCTGGCAGAAGATGTGTTTACCAAAGCAGTCCACATTTGAGGCATTAATAACTGGCAGAGAAGGATGGAACAACTCCTCCCAGACACCACCTCCTCCTCAGAGCCTCCCTTGGCTCAATAACTGTCCAACCACGTTCTCTCCTGAGCTCTCTCTGAAACAGATTTTTTTCTGAACAGCTGTGAAAATTTCGGAACATGCATATCACTACTTGCACTCACAGTGTGCTTGTGCATCTGAGCTAATTGGGGTGGTGATGACCTCCGAGTCAAAGTTGTGTGTTTCCTCTTAGGGAATGCTGAAATAATTGAATGTGGTCAAATTTCAGCAGTTTACTATATGACCCTAACAGTTAAGTTGCCACTGCTGTTCATCTTTCACTCAGGTTGAAGCAAATGTACTTTACCTCTCACAGTTGGAGTAAGGTAAGAGTGCAAACAAGGACAGAGTAGACAAACTGGCTGCTCAAAACTGCTTCACTCTCAGGAGCTTGGGAGTCAGTACACAGCACATCTCTTTCACAATACCTGGGTTGGTGTCATTTTTACTGGCTCTCCCTTTCTTCCAGACCATGCACTTACTATGGGAAGGACATTTCTCCTGCTGTCTGTATTTCTGAGTGCGTTTAATGGGGTCAGCATTGAATTACATGGAAAATTGTTCAACTGCTTGATCACTCACTGAATAAGCCTTGCTCATCATTTAATCTGTATGGGTGGTATATTGCACTGAGAGACTTGTGATTTGACTGAACTGATAGAGGGGATCATATGGGAAGTACAATATAAAGCTTATGGAGTACAGTTTAGTCCATCTGCAGAATTGTCACGTTTTCTTTCTGCTGTGGTCGTGTTCTTCTGTGGATGTTATCTAGAGTAGCAGTTGTGCAGGGATTTAGTGCTGCTGCCCCTCCCTGAGACTGCTGGATGTTTTGAGCTCTCTGAAGGGAAGGTAGATCAGCAGTAGTTACACAACAGAGGAATGTTTTGAAGCTTCTTGTGAAACTTCATAGATGACAGTATTGATAATAGAAGAACTGATAAAATCCAGTTAATTGGTTGTGAATTGGTTTTGTAACTTCGTGAATTTTGTGGGGGGCTGGAGAGAGGGTGAATCCTGCTGCAATCTGTGATAACTGCACTAAGAAATGTTCACTGAAAAAAAAAAATTAGACTAAAAAGTAGGAACAAACTCAGATTAGTGATGTTGCACTATGTTTTTGTTTTAGGTTTTCCTGAAAAGGTAACAGTAAAGCAATGCTATCGTCTTCTGGGAAACAGCCTCAATGTACACGTGGTGGCAAAATTGATCTCCATTCTACTCGAATAATTTAGAACCTGGAACTGATGCATATGGACTGGTGACAGAAAATACTTCCACCTTTTGGGAGAAAGCTGATGGAACCTGGACAAAAAACAGAGCTTGCCAAGATATTTGTCCAGACATTTTACTGAAAATTTTTTATATCTTTTTAATAACTTGCATTCATGATGGATTTAAACTTTATAGGTGTTTTATTTAAATGGCAGTTTACAGGACTTTGCTTTATTTAAAAGTTCTTTATAGTTTGCAGAATGAAAAATAGCAGCATATGCAAATACTTCAATGAGAAAGGATAAGAGTATTTTATTTTACTTTTTTATTTTGTTTTTTATCTTAAAACCATTTTCTCAGTACTGTGTGAAACTGTGAAGCTGTTTCAATTAGGTGCAGAGACTAAATTCTATGTGAAAAATGTCTTAATCTTTAAATGTAAGTGATCCATTCTGAAAAGATTTACTGTATATATGATCTAAAATTTTGATGTGATTTTTGTAGCTCATGAAACTAATAAAGTCAATATTTTATATACAATTTTTAAGACCTAGTGTTGTTCTTTATGGTTGTCTTATCTTTAAATACCCATAGGATTCTGGAACCCAACTGTATTTGTCTGGAATGATTTGTTTAGTTGCAGCTGAATGAAAATATTTCAAGATTATCACCAGCCTGACAATAACTTCCCTGTTTCACTTACATTATTCAGGATAAGATCATTGCTCCTTACCAAAGACCTACATGTAAAAGACATTAAAAAAATGTAAAGCTCCATGTTTAGGTTTCTGTGACATAAGAACTGGAGAAAAACTATATGGGCTTCTTCTGAAAATTTCTTCACAAAACTTGGTAGTAGTACTGGAGTTAGGAGTATGTGTTGAGATGAAACCACTGCATGTGGCTATCCCCAGTGCTCCCCTGCACAGTGCCTCATAGAGCTGGACCCAGTGGGTTTGTAATCAAGTCTTGTGAGTTCAGTACATCTGAAATTATAGAGAAAATGATGGGAAAACTGAAAGCCCTCTAAAGACGCGTGTGATCTAGTTATCTTTCCTTGGGATTTTCCCATTGGTATCTAGATTAAAAACAGCTTGAGTGAGGAAGAGTTAAAATGATACTTAGTAAGCATCCTTAGGGAGATTATGTGCCAGAAGACAGAAAGATTTTGTAGTTGATCATAGTTCCTGTGCACCTAAGCAGTAAGTTAAAGTTGCCAGCCCTAAAAATGAATGAGTTTCATCCCCCTCTCCCCCCAACCAGTGGGATGACACTGGAACAGTCTTGGTATGTTCCATCTGGGTTTGGTAGTGCAGGACAAATTGAAGACCACAGAGAGCAGAGCTGCTGTAGAGATACTGTATTTTCATCTGCTGTAGTCCTGAAAACAATTTAAAAATAAATTTATGTAGATAAATTAATGCAGCTTTATCTTATGCTGGGTCCTGAGTTTCTTCTTCAGTCTTGATTTGCCTGCTGCTTTGTTATACCAGGGAAAGCTTGGGTTGACCTACTTCAGCCTGTCTGATTCTCCAGGAGCATATTGCCCACTTGGGCTGTTCCAGCTGTAAAAGAGAAATGGAAATGGTTTCTCCTGAAAGTGCTCTGGACAAAGCCCTAGAGAAGCTGAAGTTGGCCTCTGTTCTCACCTGGTCACTTGTAGTACTGAAATATCAAAAAAGTACTGCTGTGCTGGCTACTAAACTGCAAAGAGCAGGTGGGTTTTGACAGTGAACCATGGTCACCTATACCCACGATGGTTGTTGTGTAGATTTATCAGCCAGATCAATAACTAGTATCTGTATGGTCTTGTTTGTCTTGTTCTTGGTAGAAATGTGGTTGTATAAAGATCTATTGCTGTCTATTATTTTCCAAACATAGGTATGAAAACAAAGGATATCAATTTGATATATAAATTGGAATTTCCTTTTGCTAAATCATGTAAATATTATATTCATTCTGCTTCACTGTAGTAATATTTGGAAAAAGATCATTATTAACAATTAATTTTCAATTCCTTTGTGTGTAGAACATATCTTAATGCTTTATATGCCACTTGTAAATTAGTGTTGAAGTGTAAATCGAAATGTACCTAGCTGCACCTAAAACTGATACAGTAATACAGAGCCTGTTACATATGGATAGTGAATTTTAATTCAGTATGATTGTGAAGACTGAATATGTTTGCTAATTTGAGCTGTTTCTGAAGGAAAAAAACTTGAAATAATTCAGAGTTGTAAATAGATATCTGTGTATTTTACCCCTGCTAACCCTGTAATACTGGTGCAGCTAAATTGAGTGAGTGCTGCTTATCCCCTTGGTTTGTTATTAATAGACTGGTTTACTGAGTTCTGTTGGGTTGTACCTGCTTGACCTCATTTGATGATCATGTTGCTTCCTCTTCCAAGCAGTCTCCTAATCCTAAGTACTTTGCAGCCTACATCATTGCTGTACTTTGCAACTTCAGCTTAAGCATTTTCACTGCAATGAAATGTGATTACAAAAGCAGCTGAAAGGTGAAGAAGTAAAATCTGGAAAACAGCTTTAGAAAGGGAGGACGATACCCAGAATCTGATTTTTGATTTTGTACCTCTTTCATTTGCATGCCTTAATTAAATTTCATTATCTGAGTGAGGTAATGTGGTTGTATTCCCTTAAATTTGAGAATTTCCACTGAGAAAAAGGTTGTCATATTTGGTGGTGTTATATTTATGTAGTAATTTTTTAAGCTTGCAGATTGACTTACAAAAATATTCCCTATACCAGCTAGTTTGTATCTGAGTTACTGTGGGGTTACCCTTTACTCAAGAAGAAACCTGTCTAGCAGCAAAATTACTAAAACACCATTTTTTTAATGCAGTGAGTTTGAGTACTTTTTGATGCCTAAAGTGGAGGTGCATCCTTCCATGCAGTGAATGTAAGGCTCTTGCCCAGAGCCTTTTTTATCTCACTTTTGTCTGGTAGGACAACTATAAGGCTTTTCAGGAATGTCTGTATTACAGTCTGGGAAAACATTGATTGGTGATAGCTATTTCTTAAATATAAACAAGGGAAAGCCCATTTTGGTTTTGACAGAGACATTTCAATAGAAATCTGAACAGTCCCAATGCTTCAATGACTATACAATTTGTTTTAGCAGTTATCACACATTTCTAAAATAAGTGGAAAATTTCAAAAATATTTGCTGCATCTCATGGATTAATTTTTCAATTATCAGCTTGTCCTTTGGCTCCTCTTCTTGCTGTTCATACAAAGTTTAACACTTGAATTCTTGTATAAATACTGAATTATATTTATTTTCCTTAGCAATTTAATATATTTTGTCTTCTATGTATTTACAACCACATAAGTGTTGTATTTTTTCTGCATATTATTTAAAGAATATGACATATTAGTAAGGATTTAGAAGAGATTAAATAATAATTGGTTAAGAGCACTAGCATTTCTGAGCAGTCTTATGTAAATATTGTATAAAATTGAAGTGATCAAAGAAATACTCATAGAAAAATAATGTGAAACCATGAAAAAGTAGACATAGAGCCCAAAATTAATTCCAGTAGCCATTTTCTCTTTGCCTGTGCAAATAGTGAGTGTTGTAGTGTTACAACCTCATTAGGGAAGTTTGTGAAATACTGAGTAGTGATAATATGTCAATTTAAATGTTATTGCAAAGAGCAGGACAAGATTTCTGTTATTTTTGTCTTTAGTTGATTGTAAGATTTGGGGTTATAGCTGTTAAAGAAAAGAAATAGTGGCCCAAGAGGGCCAGGCAGCTGTCTGTGAAGGCTAAACAACTGGATTGTTCTCTTTGATTTTCCTGCACCTGGTCCTGTTGACAGTGGGAGGAAGCTGGATGAGGAACCTTCTCAGGTAAGAGCTCTGGTGAAACAAGAAGCAGAGTTGGAAGGGTTTAACTCAATTGTAACACAACACTTCTAGTGAGAGAGTTGTTGGATGTCAGATGGCCTCTCTGGTTGGATGCCTTTCACTAGGATTTGGGAAATTGCAGCAAAAAAGTTCCTGAAATCTCCTTCAGGGAGGAATGTCTCTCATTTTAGATGCAGGAATACATCCTGAAATCCCAGCTTCAGTGAGAGCATGTTTGTGTTGAGCTTTTGTCCATGCACTGGGCCTTTTTAATTCAAATATTTTTAAATTGCCGCCTGGCACTTGGAAGCAAAGCCTGCTGATGGTACAGATATATTTTGTCAGATGAAGATTGCAACAAATAGTCTTCATTACTTCAAATGCTTGCCTGTATGTATTAAAAAAAAAAAACTAATCTCATTCTGTTTATAAATAATACACTTAAAATGGGATTCTTCTCAGAATTAATATTTTTATTGGCATTTTCACTGTATACTTACCACAATTAATGTAAGGCATTACTCATTTTTGCACATGTGTTATAAGGTGAATCTTGTGGAGAAGGAGAAGACTGGACAAGTTCTTGTAAGAAAAATCTTCTGACTGAAGAAGTTCCCAAACTGCAAATAACTGGAGGCCAAGAGAGTACCTGGGGGAGGTACTGTATCTGCTCACCCTTCGTGTACCCTTCATTTCCTGTCTGCTTTTGGCCACTGTTGGAGTGACCTTGATGATCCACTGACCTGGAGAGATCTTTTCTAGCCCAGGATGATGACTCTTATTGCTTATTTTGTATGGTGACAGAATGGCAGTACTTGTAACCACAGCCTCAAGACACAGCAAGCACTTTACAGACATGGCTCGTTCTGAGCTTCTTGGTGAAAGCCAGCAGTACAGAATAGAATGAATCTGAGGAAGGTTGTGCAGGTTCTGTCCATTCATTCCTTTAGGGTTATTAGTGAAGAAGGGTGGCTATGCCAATGGAAGTCCCTAAAAATAGCTCCAGTGTATGTTAAAGTCATTGGAATGTGTTAAAAGGACTGGAATAATCAATAGAAAAGAATAAAGCAAATACAACTGACTGGAAGCTTTTCATTAACCTAATTGCAAAAAAGAATGAAATGGAGAATAGGAGGCATCAAAGTGGTTTATACAAACAACAATGTGTAGGAAGAAAAACCAGAAAGAAGAACTAAAATAAAACTCTCATAAGGAAAGCAAAAAACTAATGTGTTAAATCTTACTTATGATAAAGGAATCCAGGGATAATTTGGACAGTGGATCAATTTCAGCTTAAGTAGTTACCTAAATCAAGACTCTTATCTTTGTCATTTGCTATTAAAAACTGAAAAACTCAATTTCCTGGCCAGGTAGTTTAACTTCATTAGCAGGTAATTTATGAACTTCATCAAGTGTGTTGAGGAAGCAGAATCTTAAACAAGTGGCAGAGAGCAGAATGCTGAAAAGAAAAAGAAATCCTTAAGGAAGGGTGTGAGAAATGGAGGCTTGAACAGCTGCAGCCCCTGGAGAAGGTGCTGTGGCCATAAAACTCTCAAGACATTAATGAAGAGAGGGAAAGACTGATGATAGGTGATTGTAGGTAAGGAAAAGCAGGGGAATGTTACTTTTCAGAGTCACCCATGTTTGATATAAACCCCATGGTTTCTGATCCA